TTTTTTTTTTACCCCGGGGGGTTTTTGGTTTTTTATGTTTTTTTTTTTTTTTTTTTTTGTCAACTTCATTCACAATGTAAGGTCCAAAGTTCAATGACCCTTTTTAACCCGTGAACACAGACAGCTGCGGTACAAGACCTACTCTGGGTCAGACGTACAGAAAAGGAAAACAAATCAATGTTGTAATCAAAATTATAAAGTGTCCCATGCATTTACGACGTCCCTTATGTCTCCAGACAGAAATGGTAAATTCGTTACACTTTTACACTGCACATACAGACGATTTGTGGAGGTAGAATTTTCATTCATGAGCTGGAAAACAACATTCTAATGCCTTTGATCATTTAAAATAAATTTACCATATTTCCCGGACTATAAGTCACACTTTTTTTCATCCTTTTTCCTGGGTCAGCGACTTATACTCAGGTGCATAAGCCCAGTGTCCTTGGGCAGAGAGCAGCAGCAGCAGCAGCAGCAGCAGCAGCACGCTCTGGTCCACAGTGTTTGATTTTTATAAAGGCTATTTTTGGCAGCTTCAGTATTTTCACACTGACAGCCGCTAGAGGGCACTGGTGCGACTTATACTCCGGAGCGACTTATAGTCCAGAAAATGAGATACGTCTTTTTTCTTTAAAGGTTTCCTTCACTGCTCCGTTGGATAACATAACAGCCAAACCATAACAACAAACCAAAAATGCTAATATTTGTAACTTTATGATGTCATTTCAACTTTACAGTATAAAGTGCGCTGTATTTAACGGCCCCTCTGATAGTACTTTATTACCTTGTATAATCTTTACAAAATTAAAATATATCATTAACTTTTATAGTGTATTTTTATATTTTACCATAAACTAGGCTTGTTTCTCTCTCTCTCTCTCTCTCTCTATCCATATATATGACTCTTTAAATATAATTTTACATCAATATATTTTGCTCTGCATATACACTATATTAGTATGGATTCTGAGAAAAAGGCAAACAGAGACAAATTGCTTTTTTTTTTTTTTTTTTTTTTACTTTTAGTGACAACTCTGATGTCTTGACCTGATTGGTCAATCAGGAAGTAAGCACAGAATGTGTCAGTAAAAAGTTGACGTATTTGCTAAAGGTGAATTTTTCAATAAAAAGGTCAGACAGCTCACTGGCTGATGAGCTGTCACACCTAACGTGTGTGTGTGTCAGACTGACATGTTAACCCATTATCAGCTGCTGATAACCTACAGTAACCCTTGGTTTATTGTCCAGGAGAGCTCATATATTTTTTATGGAGTTTGATTCTCCATATAATCTGGACTTTGGTCTCGGTCCGAGGTTTTGCCCAGCGAACCATATGATGACCCACCCCTGACTCATTCATATTTTGTAGCAATATTTTTTGTCTTGATTTTTTACATCATCACAAACCAAAAAGACATCACAAAGAAAAAATACATTATATATAAATTAAAAACTTTTTTTTTCAAACTTAAATAGTAAAAAGTACAAGCTAAACTAATAAAAGTATAAAAAATATTTGCTACAGATATTTTTTTTCGTTTGGCCCATGCTAACCAGACTGACTACTGAAAACTGAACCATGCTGCGGTAACCAGTTCTAACTGATGAAGATTGTATATCTGGTATGATGAGATCCTACCAGAACGGGCTGAAGCCTCAAGAAACCTCTTCCAAAAACTCGACCGTAAAATCCAGAGACGGTACGTGAGACAGTGTCGTTAAGTTCACCGAAAACATTCCAAATTAAAATCTCTGCACGTTTCAGTTCCAGTTTATGAATAAAAAAATAAATAAAACGTCATTAGAATGAAACAGTAGAAGAATAAACATCGTTGAGGACAAATACAGTTTTCACATTTTCCACACGCTCCTGGTCCAGAAGGTAATACATCATACTGTCCAGCCACATGGTAGAGTACCAGTTTGTATGTTTCTTGGTGATAATAAATATAACAGTGAGTCAGTCCAGTTCCATACGCGGTTCCTTTCCTCCACGGATTCTATGTTTACTCCAGTTGGAGGACGTCTGCTTCCAGGTCCGTCCATCTTAGTTGTGGCTTGTTTTATTAATATTTATGTCACCAGTACAAACATATGAGACGGGCTGTCGAGTGCGGTGAGTATATAAAGTAACAGCGTGAGGTAACATCTGTCTTTCAGTCTGACGCACAATTACCCAAAACGGCTGAAGCTATTTTTCCGTTATTTAAACCTGGTTGTATCGGGTCAAAACTGGGCCGAGGAAAAAGGGTGGGTTTTGCGTGTCGTGTGTTTTGTTGTGGAATTAATTGTTTAGTTTAACGTGATTAAATGACAAACAACGTCGTGCGTAGTCCCATCTGAGGACAGGAATGTTCCGGAACCCTTTGTTTTTCGTCATATATTTTCCAGGGAAAGCTAAACGCCATGGTCAACATGCACAGTGAAGAGTATAAACATTAGTAAAGGGAAGCTGTATTCACGTTTGTTTGTTTTGTTATATATTTATATATATATATATATAACAAATTTTAGTTTGTAATTTACTGTTCTTGCATAATCGGGACAAACAGCACGACCTACTGGTCAACCACAGAATTGTTACGTTCGCCTCCATTCGACCCTTTTCTTGGAAGTCTCTTGTCGTTTCCACATGACGTGTGATAGGGTCCGGGTGTAAGCTGCCACATCAGGCCTTGTAGAGGCGCCGTTTGCCAGACGGATGCCGACAACCGGTCCCACAAATCACAGAACGGATGAAAAAGCCGACGGAAGAAAGTGGGAAAGGGGAGTTGAGACAAAGAGGTGTGTTGGGGAAGGGGGGGGGGGGGGGGGGAGGGGGGGGGGAGGAGCGGGGAGGGCGGGCTGACGCCGACTGCATGCAGATTTAAAGCGGAGGCCTTAGAAAATGTGTCTGTCTGGAGAGAGAGAGAGAGAGAGAGAGAGACAAAGTTAGACAGTCCAGTCACATAGTTTCCAGGGGAGCAGGGACGCCACCAGGTTGCTAAAAAAAAGCAACAGCAGCCAATGAATCGTGCTAACGCTGCCAGAAGGAACACTTCTCAAGTCAATTTATTTTTGGTGTGGAGTTATCTGTGTTTAGGAGCTGCACCCGACACTCCAGGGCCAAATTTAGCCTCGGCTGAATGTAAAACTCAGATTTACTGGACTGGAAACTTTCTGACAACTTTTTAAGGACGTAAAAAGTCAAATAGAACTTCATGTTCATCATTAAAACTAGTATGTGGCCCGAGTAGATATAGTGTAATATATTTAGAAGGCTTCAACGCCCTTCTGGTTTGAACGTGTAACAGCATAAGAGGGGGTCAAACTTAACCCGCTAACCGTGATAGTTCATTGGTGAAATGCATCAGATTAAACATTTTAACACTGGGCGGATTAAAGTATAATCTGGAACTCTGTTGCTCCAACACTCAGTATACGTTGTTGTCAATTACACGCATTAACACGCACACTGCAGAAAAGTTTCATTTCACCAGAGCATCTCAAGATGACAATGTCATTGCAATCAACAACGTAACACGCAGCAACAATAGTTACCAACTAATACTACTAACACTTACCCATCTATCTACTACTACTACTAACTAGACCTATCCATCCATCCATCCATCCATCCATCTATCTATCTATCTATCTGTCCATCCATCTATCCATCCATCTATCTATCTATCTATCTGTCCATCCATCTATCCATCCATCTATCTATCTATCTATCTGTCCATCCATCTATCCATCCATCTATCTATCTATCTATCTGTCCATCCATCCATCCATCCATCCATTCATCCATCCATCCATCCATCAATCTATCTATCTATCTGTCTGTCCATCCATCCATTCATCCATCCATCCATCCATCAATCTATCTATCTATCTGTCTGTCCATCCATCCATTCATCCATCCATCCATCCATCAATCTATCTATCTATCTGTCTGTCCATCCATCCATTCATCCATCCATCCATCTATCCATCCATCCGTCCATCCATCTGTCCATCCGTCCATCCATCCATCCATCCGTCCATCCATCCATCCATCCGTCCATCCATCTGTCCATCCATCCATCCATCTATCCATCCATCCATCCATCCATCCATATCTGTGATTAATCCACAGCTACCCTGTGTTTGATTAGATTTAATGTTCACGTTATTCTGCTCCTTTCCTGTTCTATAACAAACTGTGTGAATGTGAATGGATAAGACAGCTACCCAGGGTGACACAGATGTATTTTCCTCTTCCTTTTTTTTCTTTTTCTTTCCTCCAAATATTTCCTGTAAAACAGTCCTCTCGGTGAGAGTTTATATTTTTAGTACAGTGGATACTGGCTGCTTTATAGCTACAAACTCCCAGACCATCAAAGAACCACGGCAGACAGACTTTAAAATCATAATAACGTTTCATCCATTATTCATGAGACAGGTTTAGCTCCAGACTCTCTGAATCCTCCTTAACCTGTGGACAGAGACACAGCTCTCGTAGTTAAAAAAGAGTCCAGATAATGAAGTCGTAAAGGTGAAAAGAAAAAACAAAACCAATCCTACAGTATTGTCCAGGGCCTTTATTAACCGTCTTACACCTTTAGATAATAAGCTTTTATTTCCCTTTCCCTAAAAGCAGCGGCTTCTCATGATTATAATTTGACGTTTTTGTGTAATGCACTGCACTAATAAATGTGCCATGTGCAAATAAGCACAATTGTAAAACTGAGATGAGTACGGAGGACAAACAGTGCCTGGTGTGGTTTCTCAACAGATACAGAAACAAAAACAAAACATTATTTTAAACCAATGACCAAGAACTGGTAGATTTTCAAGAACATTACCTGATTCTTCACAACACTATTTTTATTTTTGCAAAGTTAAGAGCCTGGTTACTTCAACTGCAACGCCCCCCCTTCTGCAGAAAGGACTATTGTTGAGCAACAATATGACAATAAAAAAAAAGATTCACAGCTATCGCACTCAAAATTTTAAAAAAATAAAACCCTCAAATTTCTACAAAACAGATTTTCCCATTGAAAAAAAAAGAAATAAAATTAAAAACCAGTGCAGTTTCCCCCACTGTGGCACAAACACAGAAAATATTGGTAGTAAAATTCATTTGCCCTCATTCGGGCTCCAACCGGAGATGGAGGTGAGTGGGCGCCCCTTATTTTTGAAACCGCTGACATGCAGTAATTGAATGATTTCACACAAAAAAAAGACTGAAGTTACTGCGGACCGGTAATACCGCGCCATCGTTATCATTAAATTTTTCAAAATAAAACATCTGTTAGCATCAGAGTCTGAAGGACCTGTTGTTTTGAAACATTGTCAGATGATCTTTGAATGATAAAAAGTAAAGGGATATGACTGGTTTGTTTTCGGTTTGCCCAGTACCAGATGACCAATGGACCAGTACTGGTCCCCAAACCAGAGGTTGGGGACCCCCAATCTAAGGAATTAAATATATTGATGAAACTGTGTCTCACTTCAGCCCAGTACCAGATGACCAATTGACCAGCGCTGGTCCCCGAACCAGGGGTTGGGGACCCCCAATCTAAACGTTTGAAATCTAATCATCACTAAGGTTTTAGATTTATTGGACACATATTGACCTGGCAAATTTAGTTTATTGTTTGAGCCAATAGGATTCGAGGAATTAGCGGTATGCTAAACGTCTGTCCTGGTGTCTCTCTTATATATATTTTTTTTGTTTTTACTGGGAGTAAATTAAATGGTTTCCCTTGTTGATTATCAGGCTGTGTAACTGGTTGGTTGATTGAACTCTTCATCATTTTCCACTGATGTGATTAATGCAGCTGTCACCTCAGGCAAACAGATCACACACTCGTCCTTGGTGCTCCGCTCTCCTCACCTTTTTCCGAACTATTAGCTGGCCGAGGCGTCCAGCCGCAGGTTGTAGAGCTTGGCCGGATCCTGATTGTCACAGACATCAGGTCTTGACACAGAATTCACATTCACACACATGCTACCCATCACACAGGGATTCACAGGTGGAGGCAGCAGGAGGAGCAGCAGCAGCAGCAGCAGCATCATTAACCAGCAGCAGGGGCAGTGGCAGCGGCAGCAGCAAGGGGGCAGCAGTGAAGCAGAAAGACACAGAGGCGCAGGTCAGTGACAGCAGTGAAACAGGATTACAGTATATTGTACTGAACATATTATTCATAGTATTCATTATTCTCTTATTTTCTACAGAGTATGAGGGCCCTAATATTTAAAGAAATTTTTTCTGGAGGAAAATAAACCAAAATATTTCTCTACATGTCCTTTATTTAGGTCTAAAAAATGTCATTGATGTTTTTAAAATATTTTTTTTTATGTTGAACTAAGGATTTAAATGCAACTTATTCCAGTTTTGGGAAAAGAAAAAAAAATTAAGCATCAGTGTTCGTTCATTTATACACTTGAAAAAAAGATAATAAATAAACTCGACACAAAAAAATGCTACAATATATATAAACTTAAAGTCACAGTCACCGTTTATCGCCATTCATGTTTTAGGCAAACGATGTGTTTTCCAAAACATCGTAATATGTTGTTTTTATTTATTTTTCGTTTTTCACCTCTTTAATTGGCGTGTCAAATTTATTTACAACCTGAACCTTCATGAGAAGTCAAAGTTTAATAAGGAGATTAGCAGTTTTCTTCCTGATCTGAGGTCTGTCCGTGTCCCTGCACTTCTGCTGGTCAATCAGTGTCATCACACTCACCTGTGACCTGTGATCACCTGCTCATCAGTCTGACTGGTGTCACCTGGTGCCCTGGGTATATATACACCTCTCTCCCTCACTCACTCTTTCTTTGTTGTGTTATTGGGCTGGTGGGTGGTTGGACATGCTGATGGTTGTGTGTTTGTTTTGTGTGCCTAGTTCTGATTCATGTCTACATTGCTGTTGTTCCTGTTTGGCCTTTCCCCCAGTTAGTTTGAATTGAACTAAACGTTCCTCCACCTGATCAATCTCTCTGCTGCTGTTTGGCTCCTGACTTTAGTATATAAAACTTGAGTCATTTGTTTTCGGGGTTGATTTTCATGCATCATGTTTCTAAAATGTCCTCTCCTTTCACCTTGCTTCCTTTCTTGTTTCCTGCTCACTTATGCTATACTGCATGTAGCTCCTCAGACTACTTTGCGAAAAAAAAAAAGATCTTAGCTACAGCGATGCCGCAGACAGCGGTTAGCATAAAGCACTGAGGTGCAAAACCAAGTGACATGTTGCGATAATTGATCGAAAATATACAGCAGGTTTAATGCGTTCACGCTGCATTGTAGAGGCAGATGGTTCGGTTTCTGTCTTAACAGAAAGTGGAGAGAGGGGAAAAAAAAAAAAAATCCTAAATGCCGCTTTTACCTTCACACTTTACTGTCATAACATCACCGTTGCACATGCACCGACATGCACATGCGGCTGCAGCAGATGTTCCACTGGCTACAGACAAGCACATGTGACGCAGTTTACACCACTTTACTGTCAGTATAAAATAAGGCCAGCTGCTCAGACAGTGTTGATTAAATTGGTTCACACATATACTCGACACATACAACACAACGGAGGTGGTGGTGGTGGTGGTGTTTGTTTGTCACTCTTACCGGTTGTCATTGATATCGGTGGTGTTTCCTGTGAACAGAGAAGTGAAGAAGTGCGTGAGGACGGGGTGGGGGCAGGTGCACAGTGAGGTTGGAGTGTAACTATACTGGAAAAAATGGGTATAAAGTGTTTGTTTTTAACACATACACACCTATGGGATTAACTGGCCGAATGCAAATGGCAACAAATCAAACCAGAACTAGCAGCTGCTTAATGTGTCCCCTGACGCTTACAGACAAATGAGATTCCCCGCATTTAAAACAAACCATGTGCGCAATTCACCGAGGGAACAGAACATCAAAAACTGCATGGATAAAATATCTGCGGTGAACAAATTGCGTAAAAAAAAAAAAAATGCACCCTGTACCACAAAACGGAACAAACTAAACTCCCGGCGGCTGAACGAAACATTATTGCCATTTTAGTTCTAATTGTGTAACTGCGGGAGTTTGTTTAAAAGGTTCAATGTAAACGTGCATCATTTTATGACGTCTCCAAAGGAAACACTAACCAAGGCTCCAACTGACCAGTTTCACTGCATCTAATTACAAAAAAAAAAAAAAAATTAGTCATGTTAAAGACTCCCAGGTTTCTAGCGAAAAAACAAAACCCTTTTCACGGCGGCCATTACAGTCCAATCAATAGTGCTACAGAACAGCACTTAGGAGCCAAAACAGTTCTGTATGATGGCTCCACTTGTTATGCTCCAGTTGTACCGAGGACAAGCTTCGGTGCAGTGGATTAATTAATTGAAACTGCAGTAATTGAATTAATTTTGTGGTGATGGGTCACAGTAGCAAGAGAGTGGACTGTGCTTTTATACATCAGTGTATCATTTTTTTTTTTCATGTCACGTGACCCTGACGAGTGATGTGACTCGCATTCAGGCAAATCAATGCCAACTTTTGATAATGTCATTTAGAATGGGTGTAATGGGAATTTAGAAATAACTTGATCTGTTGGACTGTGACGGAACACATGGTCCAATAGTGAGACTGATACAGAAGTACCCAGTACTTGTACTCGTTCTACTTGCTGTATCGTAAAACTCTGCTAAAGGACACTTTAACATTTCTACTTGGTTTTCTCGTTGTACGGTGGTTCCAAAACTGATGGGCCCCACTTTGGTGATGGGTTAAAAGCAGACATCACATTTGGTTGTGTCACAATGACAAGCAGTTCACTTTCCACTTTCCTTATGCTAGCATTGCTAACTCTGGTCAGTTGGCAGGAGTGAGATTTGTGTGGGTAGGGGTGGGAGGTGCACCGTGAGTGGCTGCTACTGCTGCTCTGAACAGATTGCACGGGCAAATTAATCCGATCTTCATTTCACACCACCTACAACCAATCTGTGTTTTTCCCAGTCTCTTGTTTAACATTTACAGCATTGGACAATATGCTTTGTCAGGGGTGATCCAAAGGTAGATCGGGATCTACCAGTAGATCTCAAAGGGAGTGCTGGTCCTCCCTGAGAAATTACATTTAAAGAAACCAGAAAAATTAAAAACGAAAGATTTAATTCTATTTTAAGATGCTAATCAATAGGGCTAAAGTAAGGACCATAGAAGTATTGAGTCAGACGGAACCACTAGGTTGATCCTTTTTAGGGTCACACGAGCCGCTATAGCCAATCGCAGCACTTGGTTCTACTTGTCACATTCGCTTTTGGTCAATCAACCTAAACCTTACGACAGAAGATGCAAACTTCGCACAGAAAAACTGAGTATCAAACCTGCGATCTTCACCCTGTCAGACAAGGGCACCAACCATTTCTTTCCACCGTGTGGCTTCTGTGTTTTTAACAATTGGAATTAAAATAATCAGGGGAAAAAACTGAGGTTCTTTCTGTGTCCTGGTGGCTGTTTTACCCTCCTACTCATGCAGGTAAACAAAATCTGCTGCTAATGAGGACGGACACACCCGCAGACACATTAAGATGTATTGGAGCCTAGAGTTGCAGCATCCTGTTGAAAATGAACTTTTTTTTTTTTTTTTTGGAATATTTATAGATGAGCACCTGTGGTCCATATAATCTATGGACACATCATCAAACTCCTGCTGCTCCTCACCGCAGGTTCTTGTCACAGGTACAAGTGGCGACTACAAGTCTACGGCCCAAACACGCAAAAACCAACACAAGGGAGTACAAACAGCAGCAGGTTTTTATCGTGTCAGCAGGGCAATTACTGGTGCAAGTTTAACAACCAGCTGTGTAAAAACAGCATTCAAACATTACGGCTGGTTTGATAGCCTGATGGAAACTGCTTAAAAAAAAAAAGCCGTAAAAACAAGTGAATTCACTCCTGCTGATTGTCATCCCCGTCTAAACAAGCTTCATCTGAGGAGAGTTTACCATTTTCGGAATCAAGCATCTCCGCAGTGCTGTTGTCCGCTTGGCTCACTGGCTCATCTGGAAGCCTGCAAAGAGCATCGACAGATGTGTGGGTTTAGCAGCAGGAAAAATTTTTTTTTTTTTTACCAATTCTATCTCTATATTCAGCAAAACAATAGCAGGTGACATGCTGGGGAAGGTGATGATGACTTTTACTGCTGATTTTACGTCTCTCCAGAGGGTGGTGCCATTTCTTGGGGCACCTCTTCCACGGTTTCCAAAGGTGTATCCGTAGTAGTAGCAGGAACCAGCTCTTTTTTGCGAGGCTGCCGAACATTGTGATCGGCAGTTTCTTCCCCTGCTTCTTTTTCCAGTCGAAGAGTAGTTTGTAGGCAGTCACGACGTCGACGATTTTGTTGCAAAATTGGACCGATCGAACCATATCGTCGTCCCATTCCTGTGACATCTCTTTCAGATCCAAATCCAGGATACAGTATATTTCATATATACAGTTTCAAAAACCCGCAGAGTCGTGAATCCGCGAAAGATGAACCGCGAAATAGTGAGGGACCGCTGTACTACAGATGCTACTTGAGTTGACGAGAGGCCTGTATGTTTAATATGAACATAAAAATGCAGGGTTATATGCAATAATATGGAATTGTATTTTTTTTTTTTTTCAATTTTTGACCTTTATAAACAGTAGTTTGATTCAATATTCCTCACCAGCCTTTCGTCAAACAGCCACTTAAAGAACTTCAGATATGATACTTTTGTCCAAGGTCAGGAATATGTGTTTAATGCACAGGGAGGAGTTTGTTATTGGATGTCATAAAAAGCTTTTAGGAGAACCGTGGGAGTGAGTATGGCTGACACTGAAACCGGATGATGCACAAGAAGAAAGATCTGGATTCAGAGATTCTCTCCTCAGTTTTATAGACATTCAAAACGACCCCAGAGTCGATGCACACATACGCCATTATATTCTACCCCGGTCTCCTGCAAGAAACTTGCATTCGAGTGATTATTAAATGCATTATGTGCTGTCCTTTTTCTTCCTTCCGTCAGGACACTAACAGTAAATGCTATAATAAAAAAATAGTAAATAGGACATTAAGAAAAAGGATTTCGCTGACTTTGACACCCGAGTGTTTATCTCCAAGAAATAAGAAATGTTTATTTGGTCATTTTAGCTTCTGGAATTACTGATAAAAGACAAACAAATGGAGTAGCAGTGAACTCAGCTGCTCTGAGGAGCCTCTGTGGCCAAATGAGAAATACTGTTGGTGATAAAACAAAAACAAAAAAAACTGAGTGCGCATCAATATTTTGGATTCTATAGAAGTGGATTCTTCATTTATTCTTCTGCCAGTGCTTTTATATTCCCTTCTTACTAAAGTGGACCTGGAGTCAATCGCAGCCGTGTGAGTGGTTAGCTGCACATTCACAGGTCAACAGTCTATCACCGGTGCATAAAACAAAGGAAATGGAAGTAGACTTCTAAGTATTCAAAAGGGAAAGTGTTATGATTGTTTCATTATTACACTATTGGAGTTAAAGCCCACTGAAAACAGAGGCTCCTCTGCACTCGATTAATGCTACAGTTACTACTTTTCCTGAATTCACAATCAAACAGGTCGGGGACAACTGTCTGCCTTTCCTGGATAGTGTTGTGCACACTGAGAGAGACGGGGAACTCAACCTGGAGGTATATAGAAAACCCACCCAGACCGATCATCAGTACCTTCTATTTGATTCACATCATCCACTTGAACACAAATTGGGGGTGATCCGGACCCTTCGTCAGCACAGACCCCCAAAACATCCCCTCATAATCAGAAGGGAACACGAACATATACACACAGCACTCCAGAACTGTGGCTATCCAAACTGAGCGTTTGCTAAAACAGCCAAGAAGCCCAGCAAGGAGATGAAAGATGATGCTCAAAAGAGGAATAACATTGTCATTCCATATGTGGCGTGAGTTTTAGAAAAACTCTAACGCCCATCAGAACCCATTGCATTTCAAGCCCAGCAACACCCTGAGGCAGAAACGTGTCCACAAGATTGTCCAGGACAAGATTCCTAGGGAGGTTGGGCAACAGGCTGGCAACCCCACCTCGTAAAAAAATAATCCCCCATGAGCTCCTTGGTCTTCTCAGTATTGAGCAGAAGGTTGTTGGTGTTGCTCCACCTAGCCTGACAATCCACTTTCTCCCTGTAGGCAGCCTCATCGCTGTCTTTGATGAGGCCGGTCACCGTGGTGTCATCTGCAAACGTAATGATGGTGTTGGAACCATCGAGAGATCCGCAGTCATGGGTGAGAAGGGAGTAGAGGAAGGGACTCATCACACAGCCTTGTGGTATACCGGGGTTAATGGAGTTCCGTGTTCCGGCTCATTCTGTACAGTGGGAACCCGAGCTAGCTCAAGCGTGGGATCTGGTGTCGATCCACACCGCCACATCTCCGTGAAGCACAGGACAGTGGAGAAGAAAACATCTGTTATTATGCACAAGTAGCTGAAGTTGGTCAACTTCGTTGTACAGTGAGTGCACATTAGAGAGGAATATGCCGGGAAAAGGTGTATGAAGTCCACAGTGGTGCAGCCGCACGAGCCCACCGGCTCATGTCCCGCTCTTCTGACACGTTGCTGCTTTGGTATTGAAACAGTCGCCTTTGAGTAACTGAGAAACTGGGAGAATACATCCAGTGGAGTTGTTGTATGGATGTTTACAAGTTCATCCTTGGTGTAAAAGTTCTGGGAACCAGAGCAAACACCGGGGTAAAAGCACAAAAACAGTAGAAGGAGCGCTGCACCAAACACTGTGTCGACCGTCCGTGGTGCCATCGAGTTATTGGTGATGGATCTATTTTGTCTTGCAGGGCTTTAGGACTGTAGTTGGTGATTTGTCTGAGCCCTCTCCAAACAGAAGCCGAGTCGTTAGCTGAGAACTCATGTTGAAGTTTTTCAGAATACTATCGTTTAGCTTTTCTCACCTCCTTGTGAAATCCTTGCCTTTGTCTCCACTCCTGAACGCCTCTTCCTTGAGCCTTCTTAGCAGAGTTTTGCTGTGAACCAGGGTTTGTCGTTGCTGTAGCTCCCCCTAGTTCGTGATGGTATACAGCTGTCCTCACAGAAGCTGATGTAGGAGGTCTCAGCCTCCGTGTACTCTCCCAGGCTGTTGGTAGCCGTCCTGAACACATCCCAGTCAGTACAATCCAAGCACGTCTGAAGTTCCTCAATGGCTTCACCGGACCAATGCTTTGATGTCCTCACTACGAATTTGCACCGTTTCAGTTTCCGCCTGTAGGAAGGAATCAGATGGACCATGGTGTGGTCCGAGTGACCCAGTGCAGCCTGAGAAACTGCATGATAGGCATTTTTGAATTGTGGTGTAACAGTCCAGATTGTTCCCACTTAACACTAGAAGTCCTGGAAATTTTCACTTCTCCTGCAGACCCCCCTCCCCTTCCAAGAGGTGTTAATGTTATCACCTGGTCGTTGCAGTTGCAAATTCGATAAGTACCTTCCACCCCTAAGTACCTTCCACCCTTCCCCCCTCTCTGGTAGAAAGAGAAAAACAAACGGAGAAGCAAACAAAGGACTTGAGTAAATGAGAAAAACATTTATTGAAGACTATTCCAAATAAATTACATTGAAAACAAATTGTGAGCATATTCCATAGTATTTTTTT